GAGTACAAAGCTATACATTGTTGAGTTCATAGTATTTGGATGTTGGCAAAAACATCCTCCCAGCTGTTCTGATATTTATAATTTATTTTAGTTTGGCCATTTAATATTGCCTAAAAAAAGAAGTAATATTTGAAAAAAAAAATCACCTGAATAGAAGATAAAAGTCTACATTCAAATCATGTGTTGAATACTTGGCACCAAATCTGCTTTGGCGGTGTGCAGAAGCAAATTCGGAATTATGTCAGAGCCCAAATACCTGCTGACCTGAATGTGGAGATCATGATTTCATGTTGGTGAAACCTCATTTTCTTCCAGTGTGAATGCTCAGTTTTCTCTGCACTGCAGATCTTGTTTTTGCTCCCACCCACTGATGAAGACTAAGCCTGAGGAGGGTATGGTAGACAAAATAGAACGGTGTGTACAGACTGAGCAGGAGGAGTTGCTGCTGTCGCGATCAGTTTCCCTCCCCTGAACGCTGACGCATATGTCTGATGGAGCACTTCATCATAACCAGAAGCTGTTATTGCTGAGTACTGAAGTTTAGTTCAATGAATCTGTGAAAACTGACTGACCAAATGGAAAACTTTGGATACAATGTATCCACTGGAGGGGCTGCTTTCTGATGATTTAGCCTCTGTAACTAGTGATATCTTAATCATCAGTAACTGGGCCAGTTATTCTGTATTCTGGTCATTGCAGACAAATATGAACACACCAATTACTGACAACACAGTGTGTTCATTTTGTTCTCAACACAGATAATTTAAATAGCTACAGCCAAAGCCCATTCAAACCTTCTTCTGTCCAACTACTTGAACTGCATAAAGACTAAAAACAGAAAACAAGCCTTCTATCATCATCATCATCATCATCATCATCATCATCCCATCATAGTTTAAAAAACTGAAAATATCCATTGAGGAGAATGGGCAGTCTGCTTTGAGTTGACATAAAAGCAGCAGTAACTCAAATAACTACTACCGGTACATCTGAACTAGAGGCTGAATGCTCATCGCTCTTCTTCAACATTGCTAATTTGGCAGCCTTATACCTGCTGCTTGTGTTAGATTTGTGCCTCACTGCTACACCATTTATTGAAATTGGCACAGGTACTCTATCCTGCAGGCATGTTTGGTCCCTCTAAGCCAGGAGGATGGCCATGACAGATGTCCACTGTGTGTTGGCATTGAATATCTCAGGCAGGCTCTGACAGATGATGTTTGCATCAACTCCAGCTGTATGCCATTAACTGACAGGACCACAAGGCTGGCCTGGTTTGACAATACTTTACTGAGGCTGACTTGCCTTTTTCAGGGGTGTCTGCATGGAGCTCCCCTTTACCTACTCAACACCACAAGCTTGCTCAAGGCCATGCTGCTACTGATAATATCTCGAGATGAAGCCCTCAGTCCCAATAAGCATTACTTATGGCCACAAGTTAGAATCCCTGATGATCTCCTTACCACGAGTTATACTATAGCGACTTACATGGGGCATATTGGGAACTCTTCTTCCCATGTGGTTTCAGCTCTGTCCCAGACTCTCCACGCTGCTGTGGCTGATGTCTTGACACAGAGCTTGAGTGACCTTTGCTTCAAGCTTTTGTTTTCATAACCAAAACGCTTGGCAGACTGATGTCTACCTTTACTTTGGCATGGCAACACGTGTAGCTTACTTAGTACATCTTCTCTGTGGCTCATAGGAAAATGCTTAGGATGTTGCCTGTAATTCAGGGTCCGATGTTCAACCCTGCAGCCCAGCAGACCCACTATGCTCAGCAGACTAGAGCATAGTGCACAGGTGAACAAAGTCAGGCAACAGTTTGCCAATTTGCGGTGCATGCCTTCAATTAATCCATGGCATTGTAACTGCCTGACTGCCAATGTTTTGGTGCCTGATGTTTCTTCCACAACACTTCAACGTCTGGGAGGTCTTCGACCCTTGGGTGCAAACCACCCTCAGCAGAGGATACAGTTTCCAATTCAATTCAATTCAGCCTCCAGGTTTGGAGTGGGGTGCAGATGACCTTTGTCACAGATGCCCTGAAGGCTTTTGTTCTGAGGCAGGAAACATGGCAGTTCTGGAGAAAGGTTCCATTGAAACAGTAGACAGTTCATTTTAAATCAGAGGCTTCTATTTGACTTACTTTCTTGGTCCAAAGAGAGACGGTGATACCACAAAGCTCAAATCACCTAATCCTGGTTTCTAGAACATGACAGTGTACTGAAATGGCCTCCGCAGTCACCAGATCACATTACAAGAGAGCATGTTGATGTGGTGGAAAAGGAGATTCAATGAGCAACCATCAAATCTACAGCAACTGTTTGATGCTGTCACATCACATGGATCAAAATCTCAGATGAATGGTTTCAGCACCTTGTTGAATCTGTCCCATGTGTGTCCATAAAGACTGCTGGTTTAAGAAGATGTAGCCATAAGAAGGGGTGAGCATTGTGTGGACATGTCATTTTACACATATTGTAATGACAATATAGAGCAAAACATCAAATTCTTTCTGGCCAAGTGCTTTATTCCAATGAAGATTCCTTCATTTCTTTACTTTCATACAACAGCTGAACGAAAGCTTCATGCATACAGTATACAGTCACAGTCAGAGAAACGTGCACACATCAGCGATGGACATTGTGGAATTCACCCTAATGATCTTTTTTTTTTGTCTAAGGGAAATCTGTTCACACACACACACACACACACCCACACACCCACACACGGATACCAAGATGTCAGTGCTTCAGTGGCACTAGACATATAATTATTCTTGAATTGGAGCATATTTGACTTGACATTTCCATGCTCTGCTGCTTTCTCATCTATTGTATTTGAATTTATTTGAATACATTTTATCACTTGGTTTCAGAGAATAGATTCTACAGGATTTAGTGGAAGACTCTTGGCACCCAATGAATGCTTAAATACAACAAAATAAATAAAAACCCCACATGATGCAAACAACTTGTTTTTTCCCTGCAACTTTTATCAGATCAAAGATTTTATCCAATTGAGCTTTCTCTACGTAATTTAAATTTCTCCTTATTTCCTGCTGATCTTTTGCAACTTGTCCTTTTTTGGTTGTTAGACCTTGGCTACAGCTCAGGGGAATATTCTGGAGAACAGGGAGCTAATAGACAGCCTAAACCAGACCAAAGCAAGCAGCGCCCTAATCCAGGAGTCACTACTGGAATCACATAGGCTGCAGGCCTCCTTGGACCAGGTATTTCAACCACACACACACACACACACACACACACACACACACACACACACAACCCATGAAAATGCTATATACTAAATACATTTTTGGGGTTCAGTTTTAAAAGGAGTAACACTTTGGGAATCAACAGTATCAGTTATGTTGGCCTTCTACATGGATGTCATGCCTTGATGTTTGTCAGGCAAACTCTGACTCTTCATAGTTCAAAAGGCTGTAAGTGAAAATCGAAAAGGCTGTAACTTCTAATCTTTGACAGATGACTCCTGAAAACTTCGCTAGCTGAGAGCAACAGTGTATGTTCTACTTTCCAATAAATGATTTGAGACCCTGTAAAACAGTTGCTAATTAATTATTAAAACAAGATATTTAGGTAGATGTAACATGCTGTCAATTTCACAGAATGTGTACCTAAGCAAGTAAACCAAATGTATATTAAATATAATAAAATGTGCAATATAATGCTGCAGGCATCGGACTGCACATATGTAAAAGTGTAGGCACATTGTAAATGCATTATATACTCATCCTCTAGGGTGCAGTGTTATACCAGAACTGATTTTGCACTTTACTCTTTTTTTTATTTTTTATGTGTGTGTGTATTTTATTATTTCTCCCCGGGTCCCATGCACCTCTGTTCTCTCTCACAGCTCCTTTCTCATTACAAGTCATTGAGTCCATCCTAATTTATCCCTCTATTCTTCCATTTTGATTGAAATAAACACTTGTAATTGCTTTTTCGCGCATGTTTTGTTTTCTGCATATCAGTCCAATTTTCTGTCTTCATCCATCCATCTGTTGTAACTCCACAACATATGTGGTCCTTCTTTCACTGTTTCCTTGTTTTGTCCCTTATTTCTTTTTGACATTGTTTTCTCTCTCTCTCTTTCTGTTTTTCTTTGCTTTTACTTTAGGAACGGGATGCCTACCTTCCTCTTGCAGAGAGTGCTAGCAAGATGTATTTTGTTATCACAGACCTGTCAAAGATCAACAACATGTACCGCTTCAGCCTCGCCTCTTTTCTGCGCCTCTTCCAAAGAGCTCTTCAGGCCAAGAAGGTAACTAAATACTTTTAGCTCTAACTTTAACCCTTCATTGTTACTGCACAGTCATACTTTGTACAATAGTACAATGGAATTGGAGTACTGTCCCACACTGGTGGTAAAAGAAATGCAAGCAGATCACCATACATAAATAATACATACATACAATACAACAAATAAAAAAGATGTATACAGAATAAAATGTATACAATGCAGCAAGAAATTCCTCACAGCTCTTACAGTACTCACTCATGTTTTAAGACACTTTTAATAATTGTGTTTAATAAACTCTTGAGGTGAAATCAGCATCAACAAAACATCCCCTTGTGAATAAACAAAAATTTGTTCAACGGATTAAAAAAAGGTTAATACGCACACTTCCAAATAGTCTCACAATCAGGGCGTAAAATTAAACTGTTTAAAATAACAGTTGACTGTTTTCAGTGTGTGTTCATGTGTTTTCAGTCGTGGCATTGTGTATTATTGGATATATGGACAATCCGTGCCTTTTTATTAATATACCAGCTAATTGATGCTTAGTAAGTTTAGTGTAGTTGATGTTTCAGTGTGGATGGACCATGTGTGTATGGATGAAATAGAAAAAGTTCAGCTTCAAAGAATAGCTTTGGACATTTTGGATAATGCATTTATTTAATTTCTGGCAAAGAGTTGAGTGAGAAAGTTGACACCTCCTCTTTTCTGTCAACTAAATATGAAACTATCACCGACAGCTTGTCAGCTTAGCTTAACATAGAGACTGGAAACTGTCCTAGCCCGACTCTGTCCAGCAGTAAAAAAAAACAAACAAAAAAAACCCCTCTACACTGCTTGCTAATTAAGAAGTTTTTTTAACAGAGGGTCTCTGTGGTTGCCTGGCAACTGCTCATACACAATAGATATATATGCACACAGCTATTGGGCAGAGCTATGCACAATGCTAGCTCTGTTCAAGCGATAGCCTAAACCTCTAAATTAGCAAAGTGGCCTGGGAAAAAACGTAGAAGCAAATTTCAAAAAAGCTTGTTCACTTTTTTCCAATATATAATAACAGTTCTGCTCAGTGCATTGTCTGCTCTGACCAGATAGTTCTGCTTCTTTCTTCAGTTGGCCTTGTACCTTTCGACTTGTCAGCCTCATAAGTGGCCCAGGTGGTTGTTGGGCAAGTCTAATGACGTAACAACCACTAAGAGCAGAGCAACTCTTCGATTGTTCTGATCAGGCACGCACCCTCAAAGATGAAAAAAAAAACGTCGCATCATTACAGATCTTCTGGGAAAGGCTCGTTCTGTGACATAGAAATTCATTTACAAACTGTTATTGGGAAAGAGACTATACGGGAAAGTCTATTTTTCTTAATTTCCATCACAGCTCATTGTACGTTGATGGTAAAAAAAAGTGGTACTTATGTAATGCATTTCTACGCAGTTGAGCACTCAAAGCACTTTCTTACTGCAAGTCTCATTGACCCAATCACACACACATTCATACAGCGCTTTTATCTACGCTTTGTAGTATTCACATAAATCAGACGGCAACTTGGGGTTCAGTAATTTGCCCAAAGGCACCAATCAGACTGGAGGACTCTGGGAGCCATCCACTGTTCATCTGATGGGTAGACCCCCCACTGTTTCATACATTAAAAAAAAAACTGCTTTGCAAACTTATTCACAATAATATAAACTGCTGTTTTTGGCATGTACAGAGGAAAGCAGTTTTGCTACTGCTTATTTTTTTTAATACATTTATTACTCATCAGTACAAGCATGAGTGCAAGACAATATGTTTACACTGAAGCAGACTGCAAAAGATATATGGTGTCTGTAGTTGTTTAAGAATATTTTGTCTAGCTCAGTTCAGTTTTGATCAATTCAGCTTAATTTACTTTGTTACATTTTTTGAAGGATTATTTTTTTCATTTAAAGTCATTTTTGTGTTCTTCTGCAACTGAGTATTTCAGTCTGACCTGTACAGCTGGAGCACATCGTGCATGTATCACACTGCTGTTTCCCATCTGAGCCCTAAGCACTGTCTGATAACCAGAGTGCACACATGCATGTGCACACACATACACACCGGCACACACAGAGTGGGTTGAGAGACTGAACACTAATTCTCCCAAATCCTGTGTGGGTTGTTGGAGCCAGTGTTGCCATCCAAGAATGTCACCAGGCAGCAGCTGGTCACTACTCTTACATGTTTCTACGTATGAGTGTGTATGTTGTCTTACAGTCAGCAGTATAGTCAGACTAGTGCACTGATTCATGGACTCTCTATCTTTGCATCCATTGGTTTGTGTGTTGAATAAGCAAGTTTAATTTGCCACAAAGTGCAGATGGCTTCTGAAATCTAACAAGAGAATTTTGCCCTCTCATGGCTGACATACACACTTCTCTGTTTGCCTACATACATAGATTCACACACTCACACTTTAACAAGCATACCCATGTGGAAAAGAAACAGAAGAGACTTGTGTTGTTTATTTAAAAAAAAAAGAAGAGTTTTTTTCAAATATAACTATATAACAGAAAAAAAAAACGTCACACACACCTTGAATGGAAGCAGGTTACGAAGCCTAGATTAGCTTTTGCAAAGGTTTAAAACAGCAGAGATTCAGATAGGAGAGGCAGAAGGACACATACATGGAAAGAAAAACAGATGGGGCAGACAATAAGTCCATCTGGATTTTTTTAAAATTATTTATTTATTTGTACTATTTCCATTTGTTTCTTTTGTGTCTTTCTCTATATGTGTTATTATCATGGTGTAATTGATGCGCATGCACTCCAGAATAGCCTTGAGACAATTGGGTTCCTCTGATATGACAGAAAAAAAGAACACACTAAAATAAAAATGCTGTTGTAAATGGACTGGTTCTTATATAGCGCTTTTCTACTCTTTCTGAGCACTCAAAGCGCTGTACACAACTTGTACATTCACCCATTCACAC